CTAAAAAAAATAAAAGATAGGTAGATTCCAAGGATTTCTGTAAACTCCTTTTCCTCCTAATTCTGACATAACTGCTAATAAGTTTTCTTTTCTGCTTTGTAACTTTAGAATTTAATTTAAAGGAAGTAATAAAAGCAACATAAATCAAACTCTAATAGTACATGCATTATATAAATATTGTATAAAGCTTAAAGTTAGATCTTGAAATTGCTCTCTTCCTCCTCCTTTTTTCATGTCCAGAAAACACTTATCCTTTTTTTTTTTTGTAGCTGGGATGAACTCAGGGGTATTTATTCACTAAGCCACATCCCCAGACCTTTTTATATTTTATTTAGAGACAGGATCTCACTAAGTTTCTTAGGGCCTCACTAAATTGCTGAGGCTGGCTTTGAACTTGTGATCTTCCTGCCTCAGCCTCACAAGCTGCTGGGAATACAGGCGTGAGCCACTGTGCCTGGCAACACTTTTACTTTTGTTCACATATTTATTTGAAGAATTTATATCATTTGACATAAAATTGATTCTAGGAGATAACTATTCATTGTGGCACTGTATAGAAAATAGCCATTTTCAAAGCATTTGCCATAGATTTATTCTTTATTTCTTTTTCCAGCACCATATGCAATCTCTCCTTAAGCCTCTTGAAATACTGTATAGTTATTCATTTATTTTCAATAATAAAGAATTTCATCATTTCTATGTTAGGACTGAATAAACTGAGGCCTCTATAAATAACATAACTTTCAGAGATCCTAGAAAATATTTTTGACAGAGGAAGAAGGCAGAAGTGTTAACAATTCATCTGCTCTGATTGTGAAACTACAACTGTATGATAGACACAGGGTAACAGCATTTAAGTATATACTAAAATCAAGATTACAGAAAGAGTTGGGGCAGGGAATGTGAAAAGAGAAGGTAACAACATTGGGGTGAAAGGGTCAATATAGCAATTACGTGGGGAACTAAATTGGGGAAATTGTTTGGGGTTTTAATTGTACTGTCTTTTCTTATGGACAAGTGGGAGCTGGGAATAGGATAAGAGAGAGATATTTGGTATTCTTTTCCAGGGGAAATGCCTGTTTATTGTTACTATTGGGAAAGAAGGTATTTATTTCCTCAAATATAGTATTTTAAACTCTCTAGAAATAACTAAAATTAATTATTCCAAGTTATTCATCACATAAATAATATTCCTCTTTTGCATCTGAGTATTCTACAGTGGAAGGTAATAACAGGCTACCAAATGGGTTGAAAAACCAGATGAGGCAGAAGATGATTCAAACAGAATAGAAACCCTGAGACATGAACATTACTGCAAGAATAAGAACTGATTCTAAATCAGAATGGTTGTGGACTGTTCATATTGAATTTTAGTGTACTTTAGCATAATGGATTTCAGTTAAACACATAAACTGTTAATAACAGCCAAGCAGTAAGATAATGGGTTGTTTCATAATGTTCTTTTTGATTTTCTGATTAAAGTATTTTAAACCAGAATGTAAAAAAGAAAAGAGAAATTAAAAATTTACTCAGATGGAAAGAATTTCTCTTAATATATCCTTTCAGGATTGTATATTATACAGGGTTTTCATAATAATTCCTGGGTTATTAAAATAGTCCCTTTCTCTAAATGATGCCAACACAAGTTCTGAAGGGATAAATCTTTCAACTTAAACTTTTTGAATAAATTTAAACTTGAGATTCAGAGGTATTTTTGCCTTTATTAATATCTAGGAAGAAACTGTGAGACGACAGGTACCCACATTGATACTAGTGGGTATAAATGCATCAAGAGGATGATCAGTGTGATCAGTGTTAAGGAAGAAATAAAATTTCAAAAACATGAAGAATAAAAATATTATAGTGACTCTAATTCTTAATATGCCACTTTCATTTTCTTTTTTTCCCTATTTTTATCTTTCAAATTCTCTCCTTCCTGAATATGGTTTTAGGTTTAGTAGATCTTCCTGTTACATATATCATTATCACTTGATTTCTTCATTCCTGACATTCTATTCTTTCTGTTTTTAAAAAATCTTTTTTTTAAAAATTTCCTTAGTCACTTTATTACTATCTTGACTGTTCAACCCACATACCTTAAAGCAAGTGATCCTCCAACTGGTTTGGAGTTTTATCCCACTTGTTTCTGAAGGATACTGGCTAATCCAGAGCAAGTTAGCAACCTCTTACACCTAGAGGGTTAGCAATGCTCACGAGTGCCACTGGTTATTACTGGAAGGCCTAAGGCAAAGGCAAAGGGGAAGAAAAAAGGGAGAATAAAGGAAGTGGGGAGAAAGGAACTGAGTAAAGGAAGACAGAGGTGGAGAGAAGGAGGTACACAAAGTAGAAAGTGGTAGAGAGCCATAACAATTGCCTCAAGGATTTCTTTTTTTTTTGGACTAAAACACTGCCTGGGGTGATAGTATGTCAGTGAAAAGACTAATAAATACAGTTACCTTTTAAATGAAAATCTTAATTACTAATAGAGTTTATCTTCCTGAATTAGAGACAAAATACACACTGAAAAATTCAGCTTTGTTAAAAAAACATGTCTTTTTGTCCACCAAAGACTATTGATGCTTCGATTATAATGTATAATAAGCATACCTACTTTGAGATTTAACCAAATCCACAATAATCATGTTATATGTTATGTCTTTGTTATAAGTTCATATCTTAGAGAACTAGGAAAATTTTGTGAGAAAGAATGTGAATCAGTTGCATGTTAGATAATATCTTGGACTTTTTATACTGTGAAATGTCATTTGAAAATTTTCTTTTTGGGTAAATAACTAAAAATAACACTATTCCAAAACAAAAGAATAAAGAAGATACTGAATAGTAACTTTATATAAAAAAAATGGATTCTATAGTAACAAAAAGGCTCTTTTATGGCTCATCTGGGTTAAGTTTTGGGTAACAAAAAAGGTAAGTGCAATGGTTTCTTTTTTATTGAGTTGCTTTTAGTTACCTCAGTTAAAAATTACAGAATAACATTCTCTTTGAGAATAATACTGCATAAATAATTTATTTCTCACTCTTCTACTGTATATTTCTCTAGTATTTAATCTGCTGTGGTTGTTTTACTCTGTAAGTAAAAACTGTCATTTTATAGTAATACTGTATGGCCACAAATTATAAGATCAAAACTGAATTTAGATGGGGAATAAGAAATAAGAATAATCAATAAAGCTATGGTAAAAATAAAATAATTTTCTTTCTGGACAGTATTCATTCTCAAATACTACAGAAGGAATTTATTTGAAAGGAAAAAAATATAAAAGCCATTAGAAGTTATTTATTTTGGCTTTCTCAGTTTCAGAAGTAGTCTGATCTAGTGATATTAAGCTAAATGAGGCACATTCAAGATAGATTTTTTTTGGGAAAAAGTACTCTAGGGGAAATTAAAATATAAAAACCAATCTTCCCACTATCTTATTTACACAGACTATGAGAGTAACAATTCAGATAAATATCCTTTTTTTCAGAGATTTTTTAAGAAAATATAATAATAATAATAATAATAGTGATAATAGTTATTACTATCAAACATTTAAAAAATTATTGAGTTCTTTTTTTGTGTGTGCCAGGCATTTTATAAGGTTTTCTATGGTCTTATTTAATCCTCAAAACAACTCGTCAGAATAAGTGTTATTATAATTATCACTATTTTACAAATGAGAAAATCAAGGCTTAAAAATTTTGTGACTTTGTTAAAGTTACATAGATGATTCTAGTATTAGAACCCCAAGTCTGACTTTGGGCAAAGCCCATACACACCCTTAACCATTTGCTACACTGCCTTCCAATATAAAAAGATACTGCTAAGAAATACTAATAGAATATGAAGGAGATTAATGAATACATCTAATTACAAGAAAAAATTTACTTTAAGGCTAGATGTGGTTAAAAAAAACAAAAAGCAAGTAAGAGAAGATACATATTTAACTGACATTAAAAAGGAATTGGCCTATGAGGAAATAGACATGTTTAACCTAATTGAAGTATTATAAAATATATACATGTACTGAAACATTACATGGTACTCCAACAATATGTATACTTTTTATATTTTAGTTAAAAATAAATAAATGATTGGACTTTTAAACAATGCTGATAAATTAAGAAATTTTTTAGTTTTCTTTGTTATAAGCCTTGAATCAATAATTAATAATGTAATATTGATGTATTGTTATTTTGAAGTTGCTGAGTAGATTTTAAGTGTTTTTATCACAAATAATAAGGTAATGCATATGTTGATTAGCTCAATTGAACCACTGTACAATGTATACATATTTCAAAATATCATGCTGTACATGGAAAAACAAAACAAAAACAAAAAAATCCAATAATAGTTTCTGAGCAATTTAGTTTATTTTTATTTTGGGTTCTTAGATTGGATTTTGGGTAGGCATGTGCTATTTAGTTTTTGCTTTTAAGCTTTATGCAATCTCAGGCAACTCTGAGGGCATGGCTGCTAGTACCATCTGGGGCTCCAGAGCTTTGAAATATGGCATCTTTCAGAGAAAGGTTTCCCTCATACTTGCTTTACATGAAGCCTTTTACTAATGTTTGATTTTGAAGCAAGAGAACAGACTGTCTCACTTAATGCCTATGTTGAGAATTGGCTCACTTTCCCGAGACTGTATAGATATTTTCAACAGAAAATATTTAGAACACTAGACAAAGACTAATTTCTGTCTGGCATGTGTAGGGGTCAATAAATAAATTATAGTAACTGTGTTTTTATTTGATCATTATATATTATTTGTAAACAAGAGTTGTCTTTTAACTATCATATTTTCATTGAAAAGTTTTAATTATGATTGTGCCATAAAATTTATAATTGTAGATAAGCATGATTATCTGTGAATTTAAGTTATTCTAACAATCACAGGGGAAATACACATAACAGTAATTGGGTGCCTGGGCTGAGACAAAAAAAATGAAAAAAAAATACAGCATGAATATGATGAACTCAAGTAAACAAAAACATTTACCTCGGACAGCATAGCCATCTTTTACCGATGCTGGGAAGGGGGGTAGGTTGTCTTTTGCATATACATCTTGAGCAAGGACTCGCCCCATTCCATCTGATAGAAAAAAAGGAAATATGAATATTGTTAACAATGGGGTGAGCAAGCAGTCTTAAACAAGATGGGGTGAATACTTGTCTGACACCACTTATGATGGGCTCAGTCAGATTTCCTGATTTCAGTCCTAGGGAATAGGAGACAGAAAGAAAAGGTGCATCCTAGTACTTAAAATAAAAGATTACGTTCAGTTAACCATAGTAATTTTGCAGAGATTATATGAATGTGGGTTGCTATACAATCAACAAAGATGTGCTCTGATGATGTGTCATTATTTCTTTAACAACCCAAATACGATGTTCTTTAAAAATAAAGCCAAATCTTCAACATTTTCATATCCACTGATTCAGTAATTTCCCTTCTAGAAATCTACCCTCAGAAAATAGATTAATTTTGATGCATATTTATTTTTAATTTTTAAATTTTTATTATTATTATTTTTTAGTTATACATGACAGTAGAGTATATTCTGATGAATTTAAACAAATATGGAGTACATCTTATTCTAATCAGGTATCCCAGTTTTGTGGTTGTATATGATGTGGAGATTCACTGTGGTATATTTATATATGTACACAGGAAAATTAAATCAGATTCCTTCTAGTGTCTTTCCTATTCTTATTCCCCTCCCTTTCCTTCATTCCTCTTTGTCTAAACCAATTACCTTCTAATTCACACCCTCCCCCACTTATTTTGGTTAGTCTCCACATATCAGAGAAAAATCTGAACTTTGTTTTTTAGGGATTGGCTTATTTCACTTAGCATGATAGTCCCCAGATCCAGCAATTACCAGCAAAAGTCAGAAAGTTATTCTTTTTTTTTATGGCCGAGTAATATGCCCATGTGTATATATAACACATTTTCTTTATTTATTCATCTGTCAAAGGACACCTAGGTTGGTTCTACTTTGAATTGAGTTGCTATAAACATTGATGTGGCTAGATCATTGTAGTATGCTGATTTTTTAGTCCTTTAGGTATAAACCTAGGAGTGGATAGCTGGATCAAATGGTGGTTCCATTCCAAGTTTTCTGAGGAATCTCCATACTGCTTTCTAGAGTGGTTGCACTAATTTGCAATTCCACAAGCAATATGAGTATACCTTCTCCCCCACATCCTCAAACATTTGTTTTACTTGTATTCTTGATAATAGTCATTCTGACTACACTGAGATGGAATCTCAGTGCAGTTTTAATTTGCATTTTTCCAGTTGCTATAGAGGTTGAACAATTTTTCATATATTATTCACATAGTTTTTCTTCTGTAAAGTGTCTGCTTAGTTTTGGTGACCATCTATTGTTTGGGTTATTTGTTTTTTTGGTGTTAAATTCTTTGAATTCTTTATATATCCTGGAGATTAATGTTCGGAGGTGTAGGTGGCAAAGATTTTCTCCTATTCTGTAGGCTCTCTCTTCATGCTCTTGTTTCTTTTGCTGTGAAGAAACTTTTTAGTTTGATGACATTCAATTTATTGATTCTTGTTTTTACTTGTTGTACTTTAGGAGTCTTGTTGAGGAAGGAGGTTCCTAAGCAAACAAAAGCCTTCTATAGGGCTTTTGGTCTTTGATACACTTTGAGTTGAGTTTTGTGTAGGGTGATAGCTAGAGGTTAAATTTCATTCTACTATGTATGGATTTCCACTTTTCCCAGCATCATTTGTTAAAAAGGCTATCTTTTCTACAATGTATGTTTTTGGTGTCTTTGTCTAATATGAGGTTACTGTATTTATGTGGGTATGGCTCTGTGTCTTCTCTTCTGTTCCATTGGTCTTCATGTCTGTTTTTATGCCAATACCATGCTATTTTTGTTACTATAGCCTGTAATGTAATTTCAGGACTGGTATTGTTGTTTCCTGCTTCACTTTTCTCACTAAGGATTGCTTTGGCTATTCTGGGCCTCTTATTTTTCCAAATTAATTTCATGATTGCCTTTTCTACTTCTATAAAGGATGCTATTGGATTTTTAATAGGAATTGCATTAAATCTATATAGTGCTCTTGGTTGCATGGCTGTTCTGATAATATTAAGTCTGCCTATCCAAGAACATGGGAGATCTTTCTGTGATACACATTTATTTCAGAGTTGTTTACATTAGTTCAAAAATGGAAATCAAAAGAGCAGTAATATAGGTATTTAAAAAAAGGTCTATCCTTATGATTAAATATTATGCTGCCTAAAATAATACTTACAAAGAATATTCATGGACAAAAGAAAACTTAAAATGTGTATTTAAAAAATGCACAATTGAACATTTAATATATAATCTTAACTACATTAAGATGTATGTATATCGGAGCCAACTTTTTCTTCTATCAGGCGCAGAATCTCTGATTTGATATCAAGCTCCTTGATCCATTTTGAGTTAACTTTTGTGCATGGCGAGAGAAAGGG